ACCGCCTTCCTTTTGCACCCCTCTTATTTCTCAAGGTGTCAGTCCCATCTTATCCTAGGGTACTAATCACTTGTCCAACTGCAGAGGACGCATAACTAGGTAGGTTCACAGAGCTGATGTGACTTTCAAGGCTATCCAGATCTTTTCGAATTCCCATATTCTACAGTCTGATTACTGTTGAAAATGCAAACGTGATCCCGCCATTTCAATGGAAAATATTGCATTATACAAAATTACCATATTTAGTAACAACCAGCAGATATTTTATGTGAAATCGTGTTGATTGTTGAGTCTATACTAAGGCCTCACAATGTCAATGAATTTTATTCGGCCCTTTGAGTGGCAGGGCACATTAAAATTCAATTTTATTTAAATAGAGTAAAATAACAGTCTTTAGATTGTAGATGTAGAGTCCAAGATGGTACACCCTTAGGTTTTGTCGGAGTTTCCATTAGCTGTATGGTGTTTGTTTGACCTCGTTTCCACGGCTTGATCGGAGCGTTAGGAAAACCTTGCGGAAAAAACCCACTCCTGTGTCCTTTACTATAGTAGTCATGAGACCTTCTACCATCGGACCACTAACTTGGTCCATTCTCAGACATTACCATGACTAATAATGAAAGAGACGCAGTACTCGGTATGCTCCACAAGGTCTCTCTGTAGCTCCGACAAAGTTTCGAAAACTAAATTAAACCAGCAATACCAGTCATTAATTCTCCTTGGATGAACTATTTCTCCTAAAAGATCTAGTGAAAGTTTTGAAATTACTTAATTATACTATAGCCTGAGTTTGACCTTCTTCAATGATCGGTCAGACTTAAAGTCAGGAAACACGCGTTTGATGAAGGGCCATCTTTGGCTTCCAGCAGGTCTTCGAATAAGCTATGCAAAACTTTGAGAGATCCGCAGTCCTCCACGAAATAGCGTATCATTCCCTTTCGGTAGAAAAAGGCAGAAAATCCTGGCACGTTTTAAAAGGTTCTATAGAGAATTATGCTAACTAAATAAAATCACGACTTCAATATCCAAACACAAACAAAAAGAAGATGGAAGACCAAATCAGCATTATGCTGAATTTGGTGACCTTGGAGCCAGTAAGTCAAAAAAATACACAAAAAAGGAATATAATTGAGCTTTACTAAGCCTTGCCTACTATCCTTGTGTGGCAATCCCATAATCAGTCCATAGCTCACCTTGAGCAAACAAGGGAGGTTAATACTGGAGTACCTTTCGTTTAGTTTGAGAAGGCGGGTCGAAGGGATTCGTAGATTGGTCGCACCGGATACCGCAGGAAGGTTCCCTTGGACTGTTGTCTGCTGAATTGTGCGAAGAAGACGTTAATACGACTGATTAACTTGACTATAAGGATAACATATTTTACATTTAATGGCAGTATTTATAAGCAAATATTTGAACTACCGATGAGATCTCCACTCTGGCCTCTTTTGGCAAATGTGTACATGGACAAGTTGGGCAAGTTCAACATTGAACCTAATTTAGGCAAGCAGTACCACAACATTTGTAGGTTGGTACACAAGAGACTAGGGCATGGCATGTCATAGACTTGGTATTAGATATAGAAACAGGATAGACGCGGTGGAGACTGGAGCTAGTTGACTAACAATTTTACTAGAGACGTGTTCCATGTATCCAAAGCGTGTCCATGAGGCTTGAGCCTCGAATCAGTCACCCAGGTGCAGGGGATGGGAGAATTACGCCTCGAGTAGCACAGATGGGGAGAAAGGGGTCGAGTGTAATACGTGTACCAGGCAGATAGCAGACGGATTCTACGGAGCAAGAGGGAGACTCTGATACGACCCATGGAAGGAGGACTACGTAACAATATGGCAGACTCTGGTCAACATTCCCAGCACAAGGGTGAAGGGGGTTATTATGACAGCGTGGAGTGTGAAGGGTTTTTATGAATGCCGTTCAAAGAAGCACACCACACTACATCTAAATAGGCACGGTAAAAAATTATGACAATGAAGGTGTGATAGGAGGATATAGGGAATGTGAATAGGCCAGGGCAGAACGGGAGATACCACAATTGTTTAGCACATGTTTGGTCAAAGGATAAGCTTACTTGTTTCTTTGACGAGTTTTGTATGGTGCTAAGAATGGCAATACTCAATGATGATGCCGACTATGATGCCGGCGAAACGTTTAGGAATATACCATGTCCACGGTCCGACTGGAAATTATCATGCAAACAATGGAACCCGGACTAGATGCGTTCCTCCAATTCCTCCTACATATATGACCAAGTTGCGAAAAGAAGGACAAACAACCTATATACAATGAAAGAAGACTGCGACCACACAAAAGGCCACACCATTTTGGTCTTCAAACCTTCGATTAAACTGAAGCTTGTTTTTGAACCTAACATTTTCAACTAATTCCGGGTTTTTTGCATACACACGCAAATACTCATCCACGAAGTTGTAACAAGACCCAGGACTACTGGATCATACTCTAGTTTATTTATATTGGCAAAAGTTGTGACCAGATCTGCTTCCCTGACTGCATCACTTTGACTCGCTTACATGCATGTAGGACAAGCATACGTCAGCCAACCAAATCATGGAATGCTTCATTAAGATAGCAAAGTTGGGTATAACAGATAGGTAGGATCTCAGTTGGCCACCTTTCTCGGTTTAATATCCTTGGTGATTTTTTGTAAATAATGGTTTCTGGCTCTGACGATGTCCTTCACAGGACGGACGAAAGCTCCGCATGGAGTTACTGGTGTCGCAAGACGGTGAGCCGAAGTCTTCTTCGCATAATTCAACGGACAAAAGTCCAAGGCAATCCTCCTGCGGTATCCGGTGCAGCCAATCCACGAATCCCTTCGACCCGCCTTCTCAAACGAAATGAAAGGTGCATCAGTTTTAATCTATTATGAAATTTTTCGAAAGCCAGCTTTGCTTCATATAGAGGCGGTTAAGTTCTTTTCAAGAAGTATGGACAGTTTAACGATTAAATCGTTAATTGTAATTGCACAAATATGTTTACCTCATCGAAAATCCCACCATAAACCATTACTTAAACTAGTCATGGCTTGTAACCGCGGCCGTGTAGTGAAGTGGTGAGGTGTTGCCCATTTACGCCAAAGGCGATGCCTCCAGTCTTGTTAAGGATCAAACCTATATGAGGCCTGTTCATAGCGTCATGAAGTCTTCATTATCAGTCATCAATTCAACTTAAAAGAGCTAAGATGACTGGATTTGTTGTTAATTAAAGAACATTGAGACAAGAATGAAAAAAGAATGAGGCGGTATGCTGCATTCATTTTGTCATACTTTTCGTTTGGCTTGGTAAAGGCGAGCGGAGAGGATGCGGAAATTAGCCTTATCTTAAGCCAAGGGAGGATCTTCGCTTTGAAGTAGGTTTTCAAACCACTAGCAGATCTTAATAAGAACTGCGTTTAAGATTACAAAGGACTGGTAGTTGATTTTTCCCCCGAATCATATGATTAGGCCTCAAGTTTATATTTAATTTCATATAATATGAAATGTATTCACCCAATTTCGATTTTAGGTGATGTAGGACTGGTAGAAGAAGAATTTTCCCGCAATGATATGAGTTGAGCTGATGTTTCAATTGAATTTTCACATAGCCTTGCTTCC